GGGTGGGCGGTGATGATTTTATATGAATGTGTGGGTTGCGTGAGGGGAGGTATCGTGCATGGGCATGTTGCATAACGTTGTTGTTTCATCGTTGGGCTTGAGAAGTAGGGCATGTGAAATAGGTCTGGTACCTTGTACTTGTATATTGTGTTTGTTCTGGTCATGCATAGAATTTTTATTTTCTTGGATTTATTGAACGCAGGCTCATTATTCTGTGCTGGTTCTCCGTGAGTCCTTAGGAGGTTCTCAACTAGGATTCCTTCTCCGCGGCATCCTCCTTCAGCACCCGGGCTGATACCAATGGACTCTCGTCCAGGATTCGGGTGAAGTCATGAGCATCGACACAGGCCTGACGCGAGTTGAGCACACTGGGTTCCGCACGCCTGAAGACGTCGTTCTCGTAGACGTCTAGTGCATCTCGCAGTGCTTGTGTCGACATGGATCTATTTGGACGATTAGTTAGTATGTAGTAGTATATCCCGCGAAGCGCTGATACTCACCCTAGTGAACGCATATCCACACGTCTAGTCAAGTCCAGTACATCAACGATGGCATTATTGGCCCCTTCTCCGCGGTCTAGATACTACTGTTAGCATGCAGCCCTCCCACCCAGCACAGAAGACATACACATAGTCATCGTATGCGCCGAATCACCCATCAGCACAACTCTAGGATGCGAGCGATTCTGCAGCGGTCGGAACATCCAATCCGCGATGCGGATTGACCGTGCCTCTGTGTCCTCAGGTAACCCGTAGACCAGGGTCCTGAATGGCTCCGCCCAATTCGAGGCCAAGGATTTCATCAGGGCGATTCGCTCCCTGTTGTCGCTGGGGACTGCGATGTCCTTGGAATCTGCCCATGATATTATGATCTGGCATTCGTATTTGTCCTTGCTGCTTTCTGCGAAGTTGTTGGGGTTATCGAGGACTAGTCCGAAAATCAAAAGTTAGCTGCTGAGTACATGTTGCTTTGTGATAGGAGGATGGTATATGCATACTGCTGAAGAACAGGAAGACGTTGGATTCAGGATGCGAGCCCTGAAAAATGAACGGATCAATATCTGCGGCGCCGGCCATCTCCTCTGCTGTATATAGAGTAGCTGCGCCGAGGATCTGCACCGGCAGTGGATTCATCTCATGGCTGTCCGGGTACAAGATCTCGCGGGTGGGGGATCGCGATCCATCGCAGCCGATCAAGAGGCATCCTGTGTAGGAGGTGCCGTCTGCGAAATGCGCGGTAACGGTGTCGGCGGAGGACTCGATGTCTTGGAGAGTTTTGTTCCACTACAGTTCTGGTCAGAGGGCCCGAAAGTGAAGGATTATTTCATTCCATCCCATCTTACTAGGCATTCAAAAAGGGTCTTACCTGAACATCAAGCCCCGTGGCCACCAGCTGCCTCAGTCGAACGCGACTGACCCGAATGCGCTCCGCAGCGGGGACACTGTACAACGCTGATCCTGTTTTGAGATCGAAGAATGAAAAGCGACCGGTGTCACCGCGGGCAGCAGCAGCTTTGTTGACATATGCCTCTGGGAGGCGTTGCACAAGGTCGTCCGGTAGGAGTTCCCGCAGTGCAGGGAGCGCCCAATGGAGCGTCAACCCCCAACCCCCGCTTCGTGCATCGATAGCGGCATCGCGCTCGAAGATCTTGTAAGGGACACCGAGTTTCTGGAGGTGCTGGGCCAGAAGGAGGCCACTGATGCCAGCACCGACGATGAGGACGGGAAGATCAGCCATGATGGGGGCAGCGAGGAGGCACGGATGTTCGGTTCCACGGGAACACGGGTTCATCCCTTGACCCTTTTACCTGAAGACGCATCGCTGTAATACTGCTGTAATCAAGGACCGGTTGGAATCGGACGGTGGCTTATGTGGCAGGTGCGCAGGAGTTGGATTGGTGGAACCGTTATCGTATGGGAATGTGCCAATGGGAAGAGAATGTGAGGCGTTGTTGAGATGGGGTCAGGCCGGCAAAACCATACTAATTGGGTGGCCTTAGGGCTTGATGGTGCTAAGGCTCGTGTTTGTCTTTGAATAATTTATGCTTATCCTTTGCAGTTAGACTGGGAGAGGTGCTCGATGAGATTGATGCGCATTCACTGATCACTAAGGGTTGCTTCTGGAAAGCATCATTACCTTGAATATGCAAGGAGTTAGAGACTCGTATCTGCGCTGCTGAGGACAGCGAACAAGGGCGGTAAAGTTGACGACCAGTAGCTGGGATACAGCACGCCATTAGGCAATGGAAACCTCTGCCAACCTTAATTAATCAAAATTAAACCGTAATAACGACGCAATAAAGTTACATTGGATGTCTCGTGCCAGTCTAATGCGTGAGGTGAAACAAGGCCGGCCCTAAAAGATCCTTAACAGCACTAAGAATGTTAGGCCGGCATCGCGTGGGGGACGGCGTCGTGCTTAAGACCTTAGCGCCGGTCTCTAGCCCTACCACCGCGGTCCCTTCTCCGGTGTCAATCTGTCACAGTCCGTCCGCAGTGGATCATATTCCATTCTGATAGTGGTGTCAAATCTCTAGTAGCTAAACAGCACACCGGCCAGACACTAATGTCCAGTTACTGGTTCGATTAGGCGGCCACATTACCCATTTCTTACCAACAGGCCAGCTGGCGTGTGCGGAACACAGCTCGGTGGCCGCCCGGGGATGACTTCCCGAGTGGACCACCTTTAAGGTTTCACGGGACGCACAGGATTCCTCCTGGATGGAGCTGGGCTTGATGGCCGGGAAGATCCCGTCGGGGGCGGTTGGTCTGGCCTGCTCTGCTCGACTCCATTGGCTTGTCTCTGTTACATCGGCCCAGTATGATCCCGGTCTGGTTTGATCCTGAGAAGCGTAAGCACTATTAATCCCATAGTGCTAAGCACCTACTAAGATTCCTGCATTGCACTATTCAGGAATCGCCGGAAAGCTGCGCTTGATAGGACGAGAAGAAGAGGAAGACCCAGTGAGTGATTAATATACATAATGAAAGTTTAAGAGATTGGTTTTCAAGGAATGGCGCCATCAGTCGATGGCAAGAGTACGGGCATCACTCTCTGGCCTCTGTTGTTGGCCTCTTTTCTAGCGACACGCGCAGCTCCACCGTCATATGAATGCCTCCTTCGTCGATTCCCCCACTCTCGAGGATAAGCTCTTCGCTGGGCGTGCGTTTGGGTTGCGGCGCCGCCGAAGTTGTCGACCGTAACTGCGAGCGCGGATCTTTCGACCAGGTTTGCAAAGCATAACTACGGCTATCGTACCCTTTTCGACCACTGTACGATCGGAAATCGCGCACCGCACCTTTCAGCAGAGGCGCGAGAAAGGGAACACAAGTTACAATGTTCTAATTCAATTGGTCAGTGGCTCGGTGCATCATTCTGTTCTCTCTCGTGGAAACTCACCCCGACGTTGAACTCAATTGTGCCCCACAGTACCAACATGGTCGAGTTCCCATCGCCATAAGCCACCCGATTGATTTGTGTGAGGCGGAGGATCGAGCAGATCGTGGTGAACAGCCCCAGAAGAAACAGACAAACCACACCTGCTTTTTGTGCTGTCTTGATGTTCAGTTGGAGCAATAGCGGAATGGGAAGGATAATGATGGTGATGTCGCAGATGATGGTGAAGATGGCTAATCCATAAAATGTTGGCCCTGCTGGAAGACAGGACCCTGAGATGTTGGGATTCCAGGCGCGCTCAACCTTTCGATCGTTTTATCAGCAACCTAGCACTGCGACTGGAGGAAGATTCTCTCACCGGCTGACAGTCGAATATCAGAACTAACGTTCCAGCAAGATGACCAAGTGTCGAGATGGTTATTACGGCCCATATAAGGATTCGGTAGTAATTCTTGGACGTTCCGGAAATCAATCGCAAATAGTTGAGGCAAAGAGAAGCTTTAAACCCAGCGATTCCGAGCTGATAGAATGGGCGACCGGCATAATTGAGCTGTTGGTGTTTATCAATACTCTGTCTCGATCGGTTCAGGCACAGCGCATACCTTTGTGTAATCCGGAAGGTCTGCCTTGGGGCGCAGCGACAAGGGCAATCCAAGACCATATCTGCTTTCTATTGATCCTTAGCAGTTGTTGTGTACTGAAAGCTTGTTGGACTCACGAGCGATGCACAGTGCGCTGTATATGATACTGAAGGCCTGACACTAGTTAGCGGCCGGATCGTCTACTACCAAAGGCAACCCACCATAGTCACCAGCATCACAAAGTCGGACGCTTCCAATCGGCGGGCATTAAACCGAATCGCTAGGCGCAGGCAGACAGTGATAACCATCAACAAGGTCAAGCCCAGACATACCCCTAAAATCAGGCGGTATTGCGACTCAGCCTCCACTTCAGGCGAGGCATGGTGCACCCAGCCCATACTGGCAGTAAATGTAGAATATCAAGGAGAAAGAGAGAGGAGGCATGAGGAAGAGAGGATATTTGCGTAGTGATTATGCAAGTCGTGATGTGCGCTGGCTGGAGGGAGTTTTTCGATCCTGGGCTTCGCAGGATCATGCTGAAGCCCTACAACAAGGGGTAAAATCTTGTCCTTAGAGCTGAAGGAGGGTTCGGAATCATGATCCTTCAGCAATTAACTTCGGTCATGCCGAGAAAACCGTACTCAATGATATGAATCCTGGTGGGTTCGCAATCAAAATCCTTCGGCGACCAGAAGAATCAGGGCAGAATCGCGCGCACTAAAATCTCGAGCCCTGGTCTAGCGTAGACTTGAGAGCATTTGCAAACTTCTGCAAGATGAAGTGGCCAGGCAGTTATCTTGACAAATATATTATAACTACTGGAACCCAATGGTATCCCTGCGGCCAATCCGGTTGCACTTCCCGTGGTTTTTTGCCTGCAGGATCCTGCATGTAACCTCCCATCCCAGCATTCCTTTCTCTGACTACTTCTAATTCTTCGATTAATTTCCCGCAACCCCCCCTTGTCTTTTCTCTTTGCTTTTGTCTCTATTCTGTCCTTTAGCAACATATTATAGATATAACATGGAGGAGAAGTTGCCGGGTGCCTTTTCACAGGCTCTGCCTGTGGATTGCACCGACGATGCTGTGGAATACCTTCAGGGCCATGCGGTCGGCCCCGACAGCTCTCAGATCGATCTGCGGGCTTTGCGTCGAAAGATTGACTGGCATTTGATACCTTTCATGTTCTCCTGCTATGTGCTGCAATTTCTGGACAAGGTCATGCTTAACGTGAGTCGTCGCAAGCTTCCAGCCAACACACCCCTCATTGACGCAAGGGGGGACACAGTATGCTGCCGTCATGGGAATGAAAACGGAACTCCACCTCGCGGGGAATGAGTACACCAACACCGCAACGTGGTTCTTCTTGGCCTATCTGATCGCCGAGGCTCCTAATAGTATGTCCTCTTACCTCAACAAACATAAATACCGTGCTAATATCTAATCACTATCAGTCTACTGCCTCCAGAAAGTCCCTGCCGCCAAGTGGCTCGGTGCAAATGTCGCTCTCTGGGGAGTTGCTGCTGCAGCGTCCGCAGGCGCCAAAAACTATGCGACCCTCCTCACTGCCCGTGTCTTCTTAGGTATCTTCGAGGCCACGATTGGACCATCTCTGATGCTCATCAGCAGTCAATACTATACAAAAAGCGAACAAGCACCTCGATTCACCCTTTGGTATAATGGTTTGGGAGTAGCCCAGATCATTGGTGGTCTAGTATCCTTTGGCTTCCAGCATGTTCACCACGGGGCCACCCTTGCCGGATGGCGCATCATGTTCCTGGTCATTGGCTTGGCCACTGTGCTGATTGGTGTGCTCACTCTACTCTTCATTCCCGACACCCCCATGAAGGCCAAGTGGCTGTCTGAGGAAGAAAAGGTGGCTCTCCTGCAGCACGTCAGTGTCAACCAGACGGGAGTGTGGAGTAGCTCCATCAACCTTAAGCAAATCTGGGAAGCTGTGCTCGACATCCAGCTCTGGCTGTTGGTCTTGATCACCATCCTCGTAAGAATGATTCTATTCCATCTTGCTCTTTACTCCAAGCTAATCTCGTGCCAGATCTCTGTTTCTAGCGGTGTCGTAACCACCTACTCCGCCACTCTCATCTCCGGATTTGGATACTCCGGTCCTATTTCCGCCCTTCTCAACATGCCCTCCGGCATCGTCAGTATCTTCTTCACCCTTCTGGTTGGCTTTGGTATCCGCAGAACCTCTCACCGCTGGGCGTGGAACGCCTTCTGCACCATCCCCGGCATTATCGGCGGTGGCCTCCTCTCATTCCTCCCCAAGAGCAACAAGGCCGGTGTTCTCATTGGTATCTACCTGGTCAATGCCATTGTTGCCACCCTTCCCATCCTGTACCAGTGGACCATGGCCAACTGTGCCGGTCATACGAAGCGTGCTTTCAGCAGTGCTCTGATCGCCGGTTCCTTCTCGGTCGGAAACATCATCGGGCCTCAAACCTTCCAGGCCCGCGATGCCCCTGAATACCGTCCCGCGAAGATTGCGGTGCTGGCCACCCAGGCTGCGGCAGCTGTCATGTCTGTCGTGCTGTTCGCATATTATGTGTGGGAGAACCGGAGACGGGATAGCCGGTACGGTAAGGTGGAGGATTCGATGGTGGATGAGGCCAAGTGGGCTGGTTTGACTGATAAAGAGAACACGAGATTCCGGTATGTGTATTAAAGAGAGGAAGATGCGAGCTTTAAGAAAAGTTATATAGCAGCCGGTAAGGGCTCATATTAAGTCTCGGTTGCCTAATGTGTGCTGTCCTTGCATTTCTCCCAGTGTTTTTGTACAATATTGCGTAATTATAGCATTATTATGCTCTTTCTGTAGATTTTCGGTAGGATCACATTCAAGTATACTCTCCACGTAACTCTTTCAACTTGATCAGCACCTGCATAGCTATGCATATGCAAGTTATATTGCTTATGTCATCTATACAATGCCCATCCCCCTTTCTGGATGGCTGAATGGATCTCGCGCTCCACCGACCCGTCAACAACACGATCTATTCAGATAAGATAGATAGCTTAACCACGGTTATCCCCATGGCAGGCCGCATCACCAAATGCGCCCGTCTTTTAAGAATACCTCACACTAAGTTACACCTCCCTTGTTATCCTAGTATACGTACCCCAACACCACATCTCCGTATCATCACACGCGCGTCCTATCAAACAATCCGTTACTCTTCGCAATGGAAGTCCTCCTTGAGAGTATTCCCCACTACAGACCTCCTTATTGATCCCAGTATAGAGATTGAGGAAGAAACTCTCCCTACTTACCGGCCTGAAAAGTACTACCCCGTGCAGCAGGGCGAAGTGTTGAATAACAGGTACCAAGTACTGGCCAAGTTGGGCTACGGAGTGACTTCGACAGTATGGTTAGGTCGCGACCTGCAGTATGTCTGATAGCCCCCAATTTGCTTAGCTTACCCCTGACAGTATGTCATCGAAGTGACTCAAAATATGTTGCTCTCAAGGTCTATGTTACTGGTCACAAAAAGAATCATGAGCTAGAGATATACAACCGTATGGATGCTGCAGAAGTAGAGCATCCTGGGAGAGATCTCATTCGCAAGCTCTTCGATTATTTCACCATCACCGGGCCCCACAGCCCTCATGTTTGTCTTGTTCATGAACCTATGGGTATGAGTGCAGAAACACTCCTGCAGAAATACATCCCTGGGCAAACCATGACTCTGGATGAGATGAAGTCTTGTATCAGGCAGCTATTGATCGCTCTGGACTTTCTGCACTCGTTTGCTCGTATAGTGCACACTGGTAAACCCCCTACTTCTACATCTTTAATAGTCGGACTAATCCAAGAAAAGATCTTCAATTGAAGAACTTGCTCCTCCCTATCCCAGATGCTAAGACACTCGAGGATCTCGAAGAGCGGGAAGTCAATGATCCATCACCTAGAAAGGTGCTCAAAGACAGAACGATCTACCTATCTACTGTCTATAACCCCGGAGGGAGTGGCCTACCCCTACTCTGTGATTTCGGAGAAGCCCGCTTTGGCGATGTTGAGAACAGCGACGACATTATGCCGAATATGTACAGAGCGCCTGAAGTCGTTTTGAAAGAGAGCTGGGGCTACAAGGTTGATATTTGGAATGTTGCTATGGTGGTAAGATCCTCTCCCAAATTCCTAGGTGCTAGTGCAGCTGGTATAGACTACGCCCTATCTCCATGCTGAATCTTTTATTATAGGCATGGGACATCGTAAGCCCTCGCCACATGTTCGACGGCAGAAACCCAGATGGCATCTTCGATGACCGAGTACACCTTGCGGAGATGATAGCGCTCATGGGACCTCCTCCAGCGAGTTTCCGCGAGCGGTGCAAACTGGCTTATGTTTTCTGGGATGAACAGGGTAAGACCAAGTACTTTTTTATCTCAAGTCCAATTTAACTGATATCTGTAGGAAAGTGGAAGGACTTGGCGCCGATCCCGGATGTTTCTTTGGAAAGTTTAGGTGCCGACATTCCAGGGGAGAATAAAGAGGGATTCTTCCGGTGGCTTCGGAAGGCATTGCAGTGGAATGCAGAGGATCAGCCGACTGCGACAGAATTCTTGTTCGATGAGTGGTTGATGGAGGGGCTCAGACGGCCGAATACTGAGGAGACGAAGTCATAAGGCGGGTGCATCTGCTTGTTGGTGATTGGTATATGACATCCCCTTGCTTACAGCTGCTTGGATATGATATCCCTATATAGATACTACTGTAACATTATATACCATGGGCTTTACTGGCCTTAAATAGAATATACCCTCTACTCAGTCGATATACAACAGCTATAGCCACCAGCATCCCCGCTCCCAACACCAGGAATCCACTACCACCTCCTTTCTAATATTGCACATTCCCCAAATCCTCCGCATTACTCTTCTCCCAAGGATACTTCTTCTCCAATGACCGAAGCATTTCCAAATGCTTCGCACTCCTCGGCCGAATAGACACATTAAACGGCGCTGGGTGACTGATGACACCGGGCAGAAACTGCGGTCGAATATCCTTGACTTCCCCATTCTCCACTGGCTTTGAGATCTCAAAGACAGCGAGAGCTTGGGCAATGGTGAAATACACATTTACATCAGCTAGAGTCTTCCCCGGACAGACACGACGACCGAATCCGAAGACAAGGAAGTGGGGATCTCGCTCTGGGTTTGGGCCCAGGAACCGTTCGGGTTTGAATGTCATGGGGTCGTGGTAGGCGGCTGGGTCGTGAGTGAAACCCCTGTATGCGTTTCAAGGGTGTCAGTTGGTGGTGGGTTGTTAGAGTCTTCCGGATCAGAAAGGGATAATGGGGAGAACTGACCATATATTGGCAAGGATTGACGATCCCTTGGGAATGAAGTATCCCTCGCAGACATCATCCTCGGTTGAGGTATGGGCAACGTTCATAGGTACGACTGGATGCCATCTGAGCGTCTCTTTGACTAAGGTGTTGATGTAAGGTAGTTGTTCCCGGTCTCCGTACTGCGGCAGTCGGTCTGTTCCAATCACGGTGTCGATTTCCTCCTGTGCCTTGCGCTGCACTTCGGGGAAGAGAGCCATTGCGAGGAAGAAGCTGGCTATGGAGGAGACGGTCTGTTGATTGAATAGTAAGTACGGCATTGGGTTAGGAGCAAGGAGGACGGAGGGTCCTTACCGTATCAGCTCCCCCAGCATAGAGCGATCCAGCAGACCACTTGACAGTGTTCTCTTCTTCGGATCCGGGCTCGAAAGCACTGCTCTCAAGAAGGTTGGAGAGAAAAGACGGTACGAAGCGGCCTGTACGCATCTGTTCCTTCACGAATGCATAAGGGATATCGCTGAATGCCGTGACATTCTTTCGATAGCGTTGTGCGATCTTCATGAACTCTGTACCTGGGAACCAGGTTGGAAGATACTTCACTGATTAACTAGTCAGTCTGGTTTGTTCCTGTATAGCTGCGGGCTATGGCTTACGGGGTGGGAAAAAGTCCACTGCCCATGTGGCTGGAAGCATGGCCATCGAGAAATCCTCCATCGCCTTGTCGGCCAGATCAACCAACGGGTCTTGATCATGCGGTTCGATGGTATATCCGTATCCTACTTTTAGGATGATTGCGCCCGCCTCTCTGGTGGTTTTGGTTCAGTCTTAATGGTTGATACTGATGTATGGTAAGGGGTAACTCAACTTGCGTATATGCTGCATCAACTTGTCCGGCGCATCCAGTACCCTCAGTAGAAACCGACCCACTTCCGCTATCTGGATCTCATTGAATCGAGCGACCGAATTGTTGGATCCGATCTCCCTATGCAGGTTCTTGCGCGTTGCTCGGATGCGCTGAGGCTGCTTCACCGCTCCGAGGACGTTGTTCCAGCCCGCCCTGTACAATTCATCAATTGATCTGCAATATGATAAGGTAGGTCTTGTTGTCTCACATCTCTGCGAAGTGTTGCTGTGGACGCGAGGAGTGGATCGACGATCGTGACTCGAGTAGTTCCACCGCTAGTCGGGCATCGTTCAAGACGATGATGGTTTGGCCCATGATGCTGAGGGAACTGATTGGGCCTGGTGGCAGTCAGACATGCAGCCCTTCGTTTCAGAGTTACTTGAGTGCTTGGTCGTACCATAGCGATCCTTGTGCTTCAGCCAGTGCTGCCAATCTTGCTGACTTGGGTCGGGCAGATCCCAGAGATTACCCACAATAGGCTTTCGTCGGGGACCGGGAGGTAAAGGCAGATGCTTGCTCTTGCGAGTAAAGAATGAGAAGAAAATGTATACGCTCGTAAGGGCGACGAAGACGCCCGTCCACAACGTTACTGGCATGGTGGCGATAGGGGGATCGAATATAATAGCATTGAGGAGGACAGTGGGCTAGCTGGGCGAGATCCCGACTGTTTTATATTGTAGGGTAGCTGAAGGAGGGGTCGTGCCGGTATTGCATAATTAATATATTTCTTATTGGTCTCTGTGTTATCGCATCCACATCTGATCAGAGATGCTGCATGGATGGTGCATTAGTTCAACTGCTCAGCTCTCGGGTATGCATTGTGGTTGGTGTGGCCTCGACAAGCGGCCTCCGATCAAGGTTGCAGAACGCCATCGTGAGCCTGCTACGGTCGCTTTTGCAATTACAAGTGTGGGACCTTGTAATTGCCTGGTGCTTCTCGGTGGCTGACTCTTTTCTCAGGATTGTTTGTCGCTGACGCTTACCTGTTTCCCCGCAGTTGTAAGGATATCTGGCTGGACAGGTCCAAGTTCTCGTAGACTTTTGCACGTAACTGAGAGGTTCGGTTCTCTTGAATGCGCTTGGAATGCATTGTTTGTGGAATTAAGTACCTTTTAGTCGTACAATATGTGTCGAAACTGGATCACATGTTGGTCGAGTCGCCAGCTCTCCTCATATTTGGAGAAAACCTCTGTCTGATGATCGAGGGTTAAGCAATATTGTTGGTTTTCACTTTGGCTAACCCTGAGCAAACCAGCACGCCCGAGGAATATATTTCCGAAGATGAGCTGTCTACCTGAACAATGCCATTCATCACAAACCACGTTCAATCATCCCTCATCAACTCGTTTAGAAATTACTCTAGACATCCGCTTTCTGACCAAGCAACTAATACTAAGAATTCATTGACCACCAGCCGCCCTCCAGGTGGATTGTCAACACCACAACCACCTGTCACCTTTGATTCCTTCGATCTATGGTAGGACTCATATTATATAGCAAATGTATATCCCTGTCTTTCAACAAATGGGGCTGTGGTTTAGTGGTATAATATTCCCTTAGCATGGGAGAGGTCCGGGGTTCGATTCCCCGCAGCTCCATTTTTTGCATTTTTCTTTTGGTGGTGGTTGTTGTCTTTTGCCATTGCAGTATCCACTCCTCCCGAGATGGAGACTTGAGATTGGCACTATCCGAGACTCACCTCGGTCACCATGCAGACATGCTACTCCTTGAGAGTACTCACCCAATTACCATGATTCTTAAGATTTATGCCGCAACTGTCTGGCAAAAGTAAGTCATACCAGTACGTGTTTCATCAAATCGGAGTAAATCATGCAATGTTAGATAGCCTACCTGAAGCCCGACATACTCACACTGTGAAACACCTAATTTCAATAACAACGTTCAGCCCCGAAAGCATATTCTATTTCAAGTCAATCAGCCTTAGGCTAGTGCTTGAGTTCCACCTCTAAGCGTACTCATATACCACGGCAATATATAGTAATATATATAACATCATAATCATCATGCCTCTCTGGGTCGACATGAAAAACTCCCCGCATCATTCACATCACCATGCCCATCATACACCAACGTCGCCGGATACCGACACAACTCCCTCGTCACCTCCGTCCCATCCGCCCTGACAGTCGCCGCACTTAACCGATCAGGAGGACTCCCTTCCTCCACCCAGCGCACCAATGCACCCAACGGATCAACTGGTTTCGGCCCATACCCGGCCGAGCAGTGTCCCAGTCCCGGCGCAAGGAACACTCGATAGAACTCATCCGCATCTCCACCGTTCTTCCTATCAACCCTATCCCAGAATGCATTCGTCCACGACGCTGGGATCAGCTCATCCGCCAACCCATGCCAGGTCAACAGCTTCCCCCCTGCGCGACGGAAATCAGAGAGAGTGAAATCATCCGAGCCGAATATGCCGTTGTAGCCGTCCAGCGTGAGACGGTAGACAGTGTCGAAGTCATCGAGATTCATATCGAATACATCGTAGCTCGGGTCCTGGAAGACAAAGTTCTTGATCCAGCCGATGATGGGGAAGAAGGGGACGGGTCTAACGATCGATCCGTTGATTACTTCGGTGTTTGCCGTTCCGCGGAATGAGGCGCCTGGTGGGAGTCCTGTCCAGAGGTTGGGGTGATCTGGGAGTTCGGGACCTTGCAGGACTTGCTTGACGAGGGTGACGTGCTGGGCTGTGATGGTTACTGGGGAATCTGAACCCATCTCCGGACATGGTACCGTTTGGCCGAGAAGTGTTTCGGGATCGAATAGGCAGCTCTGTGGGTTGTAATCTGATATCAACCCATCCGTGGCTCCATCGAGTGGGTCACATTCTTCGATGATTGCTCTCAGGAATGTGTCAAAGACGCACTGCGCCGGCGCTGCGGACTGGAACATATGCACCGGCGGCCAGGACATATATCCGATCAGACGGGGGAAATTGAGGGCCGGTGCACCGGCGAGAATTCCGTCAAAGAGACTCGGATACTTTGCTGCGGCGAAGTATCCCTGTCGGCCGCCGGTAGAGCAGCCGCTCCAGTAGGAGTACTTTGGCGGAGATCCGTAGAAGCGTTCGGTAAGGGTCTTCCCGATGATGGTCATGTCATAGATGGAGCGATGGGCGAAGTTCTCTAGCAGAGCGGTGTTGATGGAGCCGTTGGGGCGCAGAGCCCAGGCCCCCGTCTGGGGATTACTGGTTCCATTCAAGGTGAGACCGCCATCTGTTGCAGCTGTTGCGTAGCCCTGGCTGACTGGGCGAGCTGAGGCCATGCCGATGATGCCGGCTGCGAGGCCGCCGCCACCAGTAGCCTGGAAACGGCCGTTCCAGTTGGCGAGGGGGAGCCAGACGGAGACAGCGACAGTGTCATTTTCACCGGGGTGAGTCAGGGTGATGGAAACGTTGCAGAAGTCGAGGTCGTGTACATCCGCGAGACTGTATGGCGGAGAGGCTGCTACGCTGTAGTTATGGACCTCTTGGCGGGTCATGGATATGATGTCAATCCCGGGTATATGCGGCAGTGTTAGGCTGCCGCAGGGCTGTTGTTTCGGTCGCCAAAAGTAGGCGAGCCATGCTATAAAAAAGTTGGTGAGGTAGACTAGCATGATGAGAGAGGATGAGATTCCCTTTGCGGGGTTGAGGCAAGGGATTGTGGGTTGGAGGGGATGGAGTTTATTCTTATAAGCTCGGTACTCCGGCTCATTTCTAAGCGCACGAACCCTTTCTCATGCAGGCTGAGATGGGGGTTCGCAAGATGCATGTAAGCATCAAGGACCATCCAATAGAATTAAATCCTCAATATTCCTTTGCATGGCCATTCGGTGTCCTTATCTACCCCTTACTGAACCCCATGCCTGCTCTTCTTTTCGTTACATTTTCTAATATAGTTGACTTTATGCTTGATCATTTCGGGGGTTTTTTTTTCTCTTTGTGAATGCCTATATAGGCAGGGTAAGCGGTCTGTTTGGTCATCACTTAGGAGGGGGATCGTCGGGGAAATAGTGTTAGTATGGATAAGAAGGAAGATAGTCGGTGGGCCCAGTAGTCAGCAAACTGGATGTGTGTTGCCTGGACTGCATACATAATTCTTGAGTTGCATTATGGTTTGTTGCGAAATTTACTGTAGCCATGCAGCCTACAGATCCTTCGCTGCTGCTGCCTACGTGCCCTACCTACTTCTTTCCTTTGGAGGATCTTGAGGATCGAGGTGAACAATAGATACAGTCAGATACTTCGTTGCCTTGAGATAATTTATCATCGTCAGCTGAGAATGATCCAATTCATATTCTTATACCCAATCAAGCCTGCCAAGTAGGGTGCTAGCTATGCAGGTGCGCCAGCTAAAACCATAACCCCTAATTCCGGGCCGATATATTATGAAACAAACCCCGAGATCTTGCTCAACGCCATAATCCGCTCCAGATGCCGCCGCTAAGCTAATATATGCGCCATACCATAAAACCAAAATCTAAAACAAGAGCCAGACTACCGCATGTTGACATGGAACAGATACTTCTGCTGGATCTGCGCCACATCATACACGATGTACTCATTGTACATCAGCCCCCTCGAGTTAGCATTAGTGGTTGGCACCTGCACATCGGGCATCAACACCCCCTTCAGATCTTCATTGACACAGCCAGCATCTTTCCATCCACCAGGGATCGAGCGACCGCGACCAAGGGTAGCAATCTTGGCCTGCCCTTTCGCTTCGTTGCCCGCGTTGTAGCTTGCCGTGTCCAGCTCATACATGGGATTGCCGACCTCAACGTCACAAAGGAGGAGTAGTCCCCGGTTTCCACTCCCCCAAGAGCAGCAGTAATTCGCTGACTTGGTCGACATGTCCGCGAAGTAGACACCTTTGCCGAACATGTACCCGCTGACGGGGGCCTCGGGCGGTGCAATACGTAGACCCTGGCTGAGGATACCACCGAAATTGGTGCTGCGGGATCCGTGCCACAGGAGACGGCGACAGGAGTTCTTGATATTGGAGTACTGGGATGATTGGAACCGGTCTTTCTCGCCTTGGCGCTCGATGCGGAAGATGTTTATGACCTGTTACGGTTAGCTTGGTTCATTTGATAAGGTACATCAGATGCGAACCTTGTATTGAATGCCGTGGGTGTGACCGCGAGACTGGTTGAGGTAGTTGGCCAGCTCAATGAATTCGGTTGATTTGTGTTCCACTGCCTAGAGTTAGTACAAGTCAAAGGAACGAGGCTCTAGAGATAAGACGTACATGGTGTCATCTCTTGCATATTCAAGCCCTGAAATTGACGGTCGAGAGGGTGAACTGTATCAGTGTTCTTGGCCTCTTTCATGATATTGTTCGCAACTTCCATGTCCGTCAATGCCTCCAGCAATTCGATCTCTCTCTTGAGCAATGTGTCGGTGCTCAACACTGGGGGCCTATTGCGTCCGAACGCATGGGGGATCACGGTAAAATATAGGTTGCTGAGATGCTCCACTGCGGCAGCAAAGCTAGTATCATATCTTGTACTCGCCAGGGCAGGTGTGGCAATAAGCTCTGATAGATCCTTCAGTGCCTGAAAACCGTTCTGGAGAGTGCGCTTGCTCAGTTTTCCCAAAGGCAACTTCTGAGCGTCGTAGGACATGGAAGCCATGGTGGACTGAAAAAGATCCTTGTTGAAGATGAATGACACGAGGTCTTGGATAGGTGGTGATAAGGTGCATTTCACTTCCTCTACCTTGGGCTTGGTGGGTTTCTTCGCGACGACTTTGTCTTCATCCTCGTCTTCGTCTTCTGTGTCGTCCTCGTAGTTCTTTTCAATGAAGGTATACTTACCCTTCTTTGGTGGATCCAAGCGTTTCTCCCAGGTCAAGCCGGACTTGTCCTTGAACTTCTTCTTGAACTCATACTCTGCCTCATCCAAGTTGCCATTACCCAGTATAGCATTTTGTCCATGTTCGCCCACCCGGCCCCAGTGGGTCCAAGTCTTGAATTCGTTGTTTCTGTGGAGAAGCTGAATGCGGTAGAATTTGTTGTTATTGTTAGTCGCACTCGTCTGATTAAGGGTCGCATCCCAGATGAGGCCAGTGGGATCAATGTATACGGTGTGAGTCACTATTCACGGTTAGAGTTTCCTCCAATATGATCAAGAGTTGGTGCCTATTACCTCGAAGAGGACATGTTTCATCAACAGGGACGTTGATTCCTTTGGCGCCAACCGTCTGTGCATCCTTGAGCTTCTTCGTACTTCCATCCTCATTGATTCCCAGAGCCTCTTCTAAGGTACGCTTCTTTGGACTTTCCGGTTCATCATTTTTCTTGATGTCGGAGCCCATCAGGAATTTCTTCTCATCTAACTTCTTTCCTTCACTGTCTGACTCGATAAGCCAGTCCAGGGAGACGATGTTGCAGGTATAGACCTTGCGAGCCTGTGTGTCTAAAATTTGTCAGGAGAAGTTGTACAGACAGGGCCCGGCTTGTACTCACATTTGACACTCTTATTGTCCACTTCCCTCTGGGTGGTCACTAGATGGGTGCAATCTTCTGTTACCGCTGAGCTGAATGTTCCCCCATGACGCTGAACGATAGTCTTTAGTTGTGCTGTTGTAAGAGTGGAGTCAGTATGTGACTGCTGGCGGTGATGTCAGTCATGCTCACCTTGTGTATAGCCGCGAAAGGACCCAGCAACGGCTATGACCGAGCCCTTGAAAGCTTGGCCGGTCATGGTGATGAGTAGAATGTGAGATGTGAGTTGTGAGGAAGGATGAAACTGGGAGAGATAGAAGGAAAGAGATTCAGTGAAATTGAGGCAATAGGAAAATAGTGAGAGTAGCAGATAAGAGCAATTATGTCGTCAGATTTTAGTCAGGAGGATCAGAGGCGGAGGGGAGTAGTTCCGGATAGCGGAAGGTACTCGTGATATGATGCTTAGAAGAGAAGTACAAGAGAGATGGGAGAAACATGATTATATAGAGGTGAGCATGAGGCGGAGATCTAGTGGACGGTGATATTGTTTTGTCTGCAATGCCCCAGCCTGAGGCTCCCGTGGCTGCTGCTGCCTGAGCTCTGGGGGAATTGCCGAGGCAGATGAGATGTGATTGGTCGGAGCTTGGGTGGGCTTCCAGGCACCAGCAGCGCACGTGATTCTGCCTGTGCGGAGGGCTCCTTGGAAGTTTAATTACTTAGTTGACTGGGTGTGCGAGATCTTCAGGGTCTAATTTATCAGGCAGCAAAGGACTCTCATAATTGTAAGACCAAGCTACAGCCACAATTGTGCGAGATGGACATTATTCTGCTTGTAGCCATGTTGTATCTCAAATGTTCATATTTGGCAGATGGCTGGAGGAAGATCAGCTAGTATATATATACAATGTAAAATTGTGAAAGAACAGAGTATGAATACAATAGAAACAAGTAAGACAGAAAAAAAAAGGGGGATGCTGATGAAGATGAAAAAACATCATCACTGATCGAGACGCAAAAAGTAAAGAGAAGTAATCAAGCCAGTCGCCAGTTTTGGCGCTGCTGGGAATCGAACCCAGGTCGAAACGGCGCTGCGGAAAACCACAACGTTTCATGATGACCACTACACTACAGCACCTTGATTACATAAATTTGCTGCTATCATTGCCTACATAAACGAGAAGGACTCAGATGGCGGTAAAAGGAACAAGCAAACAGTCCTGATAGCATCTGCCGCCAACATCTCAACACCGAACGACAACACTGCTACCAAACATTGTACGGGGTACGCGCGTCTAATCATTATCAATATTCCTATTATCCACATTAACATTAATGATGTACAGGGTATGAAAAATAGCAATCGCCCAAATAGCTATATGCAAAACTTTTGTTGATTAATGCTGACTTTAGTGCTCCGCGACGCCGTTCTCCTCCACGGGGTCCTCCGCATGAGACTCGGCAACCTTATCATAAAACGGCGCGAACTTGCTCCGCTTCCTCAGGTTTTTACCATAGAAATAGAAAGCAACCGGAATAGGCACCAGAATAGACGCCACGCAACCCAGCAGCGTGGCAGCCCATTGGATGCCCATGTTGTTGAACATCTGACGTGAGAAGAGGGGAAAGCTGGCTGCCACCAGGGAACGACAGAACGTGTTCGCTGCGATAGCCGATGCGGCACTGGAAGATTGATTAGAATAGGGTTCATCAGCAAGGAATAAGGCAAGGCAACTTACAACATCAGGTAGGTATCAATCAAATAGTTGAACAGCTGGATGAAAATGATCAACAGACCAAATCCAGTGAACAATCCACTCAGTGTGGGTACAATCCAATGAATACTCTTAGTGAAACCGGTCCAACCGAACCAGAACAGTCCCGCAGCGAAGAGCACACCACCAATCATCACAGGCGGCAAACGCCATTCAGGGACGGGAATGCCCCCATTGGCCTCTAACTTCTTGTTGTACCCCCGACTAGCGAAAACGATATAGGAGGCCGCAATGAGCAAACCGACCACCATGCCGAACAGTGTCAGTCCACCAACACCAGCAGACATGCCGTATACGCCCTGGAAGACGAGTGTGTAGGCTGTCAGGAAGCAGTACAACAGGCCATAGATGAAACTGAGATAGATTGTCACCGCCAGAATCAACGGCTCGCCAAAGAGAAGCCGAAGGGGACGGGAGAAGTTGTTGACGAGCAACTCCCGCAAGTCAACCTCGATTTCCTCCTGTTTGGCGTGGATGCCCCAGTTCTTTGTGCGACGGCGCAGTTCCGAAGCCTTCGAGACCAGAATAATCGGCGGATAGGATTCCTTCAAGAAGAACATGTTCAACACGAAGGCGGCATAGCCCATGAACGCGGGAATGTAGGCGGTCCAGCGCCAACCGAGGTATGATGAGTTGATGAAACCACCAATAAACGGAGCCAGAAGCGGGCCCAGGAACACTGTGCTGGAGAACATGGCAATGGCGACACCACGGGTGCGGTTGTTATAGATATCGGAGAAAACGGCAGCCACAACCGCCAGCGGACAACTGCCAAAGACACCACAGAAGAAGCGACAGATCATGATCGTCTGCAGATCCTTGGCGACGGCGACAGCAGTGTTGAAAATACCGAATCCCAACATAGCTACCACAATGGGTGGCTTCCGTCCCTTCAGCTCGGAGAGGGGTGCCCACACCAAGGGTCCGGACGCATAACCGCAGATATACAATGAACTCGACAGGGTGGCGACTTCGATGCCTACACCGAACACTCGCGCAACGTTGGTGGTTGAGGAGCTGAAGATAGCCGAATCGAAGGTACTGCAAATACTGGTGAAGGCGAGGATGGCGCTGATGTAAACCCTAGGCGAGTCATAGGTCAGTATTCAGCCGATCAACATGGCTTTTGTGCGCGACAGGGTTGAGTTGACATACTTCGTCCCCAGTTTCCAGTTTTGGGGGTATAGAGGATCCTCGGGGCCGTCAAACTCGACGACATAGTCTTCTCGATCGGGAAGAGGGGGTGGATAATCCTTGTTGGCGCCCATGCGAGGTAAGGGCGCTCGGGAGGCGCGAGACTTGACGCTTTCACCCACGGTCAACTGATGCTGAAGCCGTTGGGTTTCGATCCTGCTTAGGGCATGGGAAGTGGCTGTGCGATGACGCTCAAGGTCGAGTTCGGTGTTTCGCGAATGAAGAGTGTGCAGCTGGGGGTTGTATTCAATCGAACTACTGTAGCTGGTCGAGCCAGTGGTGCCTGAAGATGATGGCCTCTCGAGGCCTTCCTCCTTGCTCGCGCCATTAGTATGGGGCCGAGCATCGACCTCCGCCATCTCTAGTTGCTCGTCGATGGGAGACATATTGACAGCCAGCGGGGAGCAGGATCTGGTCTGATCTAGACGACGGGGCCCTGGAGTCAGGGACAACAGGATTTGCTTGCACGCAGAAAGACCGATAGGGACAGACAAAGACTGAACGATGGGGGTCTAGCCTGAATAATAAACGAAAACAGCTTGCTTGCCTCCACTGGTGTGGCTCCTAGGCCAGCATCCGATTTATCCGTCCTGCACTCGGGAGACCCACCGTGAACGGCTGCCATTCCTCATTGCGATTGCCGATTGAATGATCATCGGGGACAAGCCAGGAGGGATTCCAGGCGGAAATCTGATTCAACTGGGAGTATATGGCTTCCATGATGTCTGTTGAGTATGATGGTGCATGTCTCGTTCATAATTTTCAATATTTGCCAGATTTCTGAGGGGTCGAGTGATATCTGCCTGAGGCAGCTGATGCAGAGCCCCTCGAACGCCAAGGCTGAACTCCGCCTCCCTGACGTCACGCGCACGAGTCATTAGTCAGGCCTGCAAATCTTTTTGCAGGATTTGCATGGAATTTTCGCCTGGTTCGATCCGCCAGCCAGACCACTCTGGCACTATCGATCCGCTTCTAGTAATGGACGCCGTGCCCAATGGCCCCCAAGTGCCTGATGGTGAAGAACATGCTGCTCAATGTGGGCATATGATCCATCAATGAACCCCTGACTATCATTTATCCAAGACATATATACTAGTACTAATTAGCATGCTCATGAGAAGTACAGTAGTGGTCATCTAGCGACTACCGGTGTACTGTCTATTGCTGGTCTAACCCTGATACCGCAGACTGAAAACGGACTGTGGACCATTTCAGCCTGCTGGGGGGCTTATGCTTGTTTTGTTTTGGACCCAGTGTCCCCTTTCCACACCAATTTCTCGCCGGCTTAGCGCCCTTGGCTAGTCTTAGCCAGGATTAGCTGGGTCAGGCACAGATTTGTAGGACATTCCAGCCCCAGTTGCTGGCCCCGTCGCACTATCCATCCATTGATGAACGCAATCTCCGTGGCTCGACCTGCTCGCACATCCTCGCGCATACTGCTGGAATTACTGGCCGTCTTCTCAATGTTCCCAATCAATTGCTCCTCGAGTCTGGCCACGGAGAATTGTTCCTGCACGTCGGGTAGACCCTGGAACTCCGGAAGACGACGGAACACCAGCGAGATCTCCTGGAGAAGCTGACGTTGCATCTCCTGCAGCTCGGGGTTAGCTAACAGCGAGCCGTTCCGCACATCCAGCAGTGCCGTCAATGGATTGACCACACAGTTGGTCGCCAGTTTCAGCAGTTGGGCCTGGTGGAGCTCCATCCACGGCATTTCGGAACATCGGACGATCGGTGCTTCGACCAGCCGGTCGATGAGAAATCGAGATTGGGCGGATGCCGTTGATGAAGATGATAACGAAAATGCCTGCTGGCCATCGCTGACGATCCCCAGAGCGCATGATCCGGTTAGCCCCGCCAGCACAGCTTCAAACGGCGCTTTAATGTAGACCCCATGGCGCATAATGCCAAACATGTATGTCGGTCGTGTCAGCGGGTCCGTGAATAGGCGCTCATTGAGCTCTTCGATCTGGCCTAGGCCATTTTGGAAGAGACAGATAACGGAATGCCGTCCGAGCCGGTGCTGGATCGATCTGAGAGCGGGGATGGTTGCGCTCGCCTTGACCGCTACAATTAGGTGATGGATGGGCGATTCACCCTGTAGGAGTTCGGCGTCGTACCCGGTACTCTCTTGTGTTGGTCCGTCTTCTCCAATTTGGAGACGCAGCTTGCTCCCCTGAGCGAGAAAGTCGTGGTATGTTGACTCGCGATGGAGCAGAAGGGTAATAGGCGGGGGCGCGGGGAGGGAGCGAAGCGAGTGAGCGATAAGGGTCCCGATGCTTCCAAGTCCGATGAGGTGAATCCGCTGGGATGCCATTGTGCATGTGTCACACAATGGTAGAATTGGCGATCAGGTGAGGTGATCGGTGGGAAGATTGGAATGTTTTGTTCATCTGTTTCACCGGGAATAACTCCGCGGCTATTTTGGGTGGCCTTCGCTTGCGGAGAGGCATGCGGGGCAGTGCCCCTTGTTCTTTAGTACAAGGTTCTGGTTCCTGCACCCCATGTTTATCACTCTAATTGATACTTTAGATAATAAACAAGGCATATATTCATAACTTAGTCTCCATCATTATATACAACTCCCGCAAAAATGAACAATAAATCACAAATCTTTCCCATCCATAAATACAACCCATCCCTAAGAACATATCTTCCTTCCCCCCTTCTAATTCCCTCCCCCACACAAGACTAAAAGATCGGCATCCTAACCGGATTCTCATAATCCACATTCTCCTCCCGACTCTCAATCCGCTCATGACACGTTCCAAATATCTTATCCCACAGCCTAGTCTGCTTTCCATAATTATGACTCTTCTTCCATCCCTTGCGATGATGCAAATCATGATCCTCAATCACCAATTCCGCTCCAACCAACTTCAACAACCAATCCAGCGTTGATGGCGGCGACGCATGCATCCTCAATCCACTGTGGCCCGCTAACTCCGTGAACATCACATACTGATGACAGATCCACCACTCATAGAACCCCATCGGCATTCCCATCAGCTTCATACTGAAGTATGTCATGAGCGGGATGCCCGCGATGTCGAAGAACTCCTGCTCTGTGTCCGCGTATAGGGTTAGAAGTGGGTTGGGGTGCTTGGTCAGGTGGTGCGTCCGGTGGTATTTCCAGAGACTGCCCACGTCGTGCATCAGTCGGTGGTAC